CGAAAGATGCCAATCAGAAAGATGGACCTGTACATATAAGCTACCTTAACTTAATGGACTTAGCTGGTTCTGAGAGAGTTTCTCTGACGAAAGCTGCTGGTGAGCGTCTTAAAGAGGGGGCTAACATAAACAAATCTTTGTCAGTATTAGGAAATGTGATAAGGCAACTAAGCGAGGGGAAGGAGTTTATCAGTTATCGCGATTCGAAATTGACTAGACTGCTCTCACAGGCTCTTGGCGGTAATGCCAAATCATTGATTATCGGGAATGTTACTTTAGCTGCAGAGGAGGAGACTAGATCTACACCAGAATTCGCCCAAAGCACTAAAACTGTCAAAAATAAAACGAAAGTAAACATCTTGTCAGCTACAGAAGAGACACTTCAAGGATATCAGAACTTGACTCGCGATCTCGAAACTCGGCTCAAAAAGCAGGCAATTAAGCTAAAAGAGATGGATAAAAGCAAACAAGAGTATCTGCTCGAGATAGAAAGACTAAAAACGGAAGTATCTATTGTCGGGCGCTTTCAAATGGGAGCCTCGGCATCAACACCGAAAAAAACATTAAGACGTCATACTTTTGGACACTATGGCAACGTATCACCTAAAAAAGCATCCCTAGGGTATATGCCATTGAAAAATTATCCACCCAAAGAAGAATCATCCGGACGTGAAATGAGGCCTATTCAAGAAGAGACATATGAGGAGGCACTAGCCGAAGCAGAATCTGTGATAGCTGAAGACGTGCAAGTGTACTTAAAAGACAACTCAAAGAACTGGAAGAATCTTTCAATGAGCTTAGAGAATTCACTAAACTAGATAATCAGCTGGAGATTTTGGACCTGAAGAAACAGCTCACAGAAGCCAATTCTAAATTCGATCGTTACAGTCAGGAACTCCGCCAAGTAACGGATGCGTACAACGAAGAAATAGAAAGAGTTCAAAAAAATTCTCAAAAAGCGCAAGAATTTCATCGACTTGCAATACAGACTCGATTTTCTGGAAAAAAATAATAAAAAGACTAAAAACATACGAGTCAGAAATAGAGATGCTGCGTACTCAACTGAAGAACCTAGGAAGATCAGAGAGCCCTAAACCATCTCTTGAAGCTCAAAATATTGAGTCAAAAAAGAAGGTTGCAGACTTAGAAGCTATGCTTGACGCTGAGTACGAAGATATGCAACATTCTTTAAGTGCTGCTGCACAAACTGATGTAACGATGTCACACATTGCTGAACTGCAAGATGAAATTGGCTTCCTAAAAGAACTTGAATCTAAACTGAGAAATGACGTAAAGAGTCTGATGGACGAGAGTAACCAACGTGAGGTCAACCACTCATTTAAAATCTCAGATATACGATGCCATAATGATTCTACTATAAAAGAGCTTCAGGATCAAATGGCTGAACTGGAATGCCAAAACGAAATCTGGATTATGAAAAAGGACGACGAAATCAGAAAATTGCAACAACTAATTACAAACCCGAAGCAGGCTGGCACTTAACCAGAACCACCTGTGCAGGAAGACGTTGCATTTTATAGGGAGCAAGTTGAGTTCTCCCAGAACATGTACAAAAATGAGATAATAGGTGGAGAGTTACGTATAAACCATAGAGAAAATCTTCAGGCAGTTAAACTAGAAATATGTCTACCCTTGTTTAGTGTTTACGATTATTGCAGGGTTTGGACAAAGTTTAGGGCTGATCCCAGTGCTCACAGTGTACAATTTTCAGCTAATAAATCTTGAATTCTGAGGTAACAAAATCAACTAGAACTCTGAAAAAGTGATTTATCAGAAATCATGCCCTTACTTCCATGATAAGAGGGATTCGTAAAAATTATAAGCAGGTTGTGGCTTATTATCTAGTAAAAGATACAAGAATCCCAGATCTGAAAACGATTATTGTTCATGTGATCACAAACTAGCAGCGACTTGGTTTGTGCGTTGTTGGCACTATTTCTAATCAGGGCGCAACGATCAAAAACGCACTTGAGACGATTTGCTCGGAGAATACTCACGGATCAAGTCCATTCCATTTTATAGTCAATGCTCAGAGTATTTCTACAATTTGTGATGAACCACATTTATTCAAAAATGGATGAAATGCTCTTATTGACATTAATATGAAAGTGAAGAAGCTGCACAGATTGAACATGTCTAGAAATCATATAATGTTGATCAGCAAACAAGACCATACAAAGAGCTATGTAAATTGAAACCCAGCCACTTTGATTTTATAGATTCGTTCAAGAATATAGAAATTAATCCTTTAATGATATCGTCGGATGATTCGAGCTTTCTCAGTTATGTGGTGGGGGTCCCGTGACTTCTCATACGGTATGAGCACGTATACCTCAAACCACAGTTTAATTTAAACATCACAATTGTTGGTTTGTTGACTTTGCGGTCAAATTTGATCCGAGGATGTCAGTTGCGTGTACGATTTGAACTTCCTTCACAATGGATTTTTTCGTTGTTGACGGATGAACAATACACTATAGACTACGCCGAGGACGACGCTGCTATCGATCAACCTGAACAACTTCCTATGGGCGACCTCGCTATGCCTATGGAAAAAACATGTACAATTGGTCAAAACGAGCGCCTGCAACTGGTCGATTATTACGCATTTACCTGAACTAAAGTCCGTGGCAACCAATTTGGAAAATAATAACCCTGTGACTCGAGAAATGCCGATAAATTTCTCCAAATACGTGAAATTTTCGAGACACTCATAGAGAACTGTCGAAATTGTTATATTTCGGGTGAGTCCCCTACAAAATACGAGATGCTCGTGGGCCGATGTCCTTCCTGTGCCTACAAGAAAACTAAACCGAATAAGTATGGACTGATGATGCAAAGACTCACCACTACCTGCTCAATGCTTTCGTCTATACGAACAGAAATATCACAGCAGATGACTGGTTCACGTCAGTAGAATTACATGTAGAATTGCGCATCAACCAACTGACCTATGTCGGCAGGAAGCGTAAAAATAAGTAACAAGTACCCCAACATGTAGTTCCAAATAAGAAGGAAACACAGCCAGGTACTTCTAAGTTTATGTTGTACAGCCTTAGAGTAGTATCTTCCAAAACCAAATACACATGTTCTCGTATAGCAATCTATGCAGCATGATAACAAAATAGTAGAGGAATCAAAGAAACCTGATAAGATCCTATATTATTTTTATAACACTATGAAGGCGGGGGGTAATGCATTAGATCGGAAGTGTGTAAATTACAATACTGGTTAGAGAACGAGAAGATGGCCTTGTGCTATTTGGTATCCAACCAGCTTCTGTAAATTCCTTTTTTTTTCAGTCTGGGACTGAAAGTTCCATTAGGCGACGAAATTTTATTGTTCCCCTGAGGCAAACTCTAATTTAACTTCGTATGAGAGGACGTTTATCAGATCCAAGACTTCCTAGGGAGCTTCGTTCAGCCATGCAAAGAATCCTAAATTACCAACGACGAATAAAGTAAGCCGTCTACTTCTCAGCCCAGAGTTCTCGATCCTGATGCAGTTGTTAAAGAAAAAAAACGACGTAGGTGTTACATGACAATACACAATGAAAAAAATGTTCTACAATCTGTAATAAGTATGTAAAGTCACAGCGCACTTACATTGTTTCGTGAAAAGTGATAAATGTTAATTATTGTATGTTTCCTTATACGAGAAAGTATTTGTTTTTGTTGTAGAATATCAACACCAAATATGTTGTTAAATGGCCCATTTTGTTAGTTTTTTTATGTTCATATTACAGTTCAAGTTTCGAGGATTATATTTATTGCATTACTCATCTTCAATGGGGTATTTTCGTTTTTAGACAATAAACAGTTTTCATGTAAGAGTGTCTTATGCGTACAAACCTGTTGTACACATGGCTAAAAACAGTAATGGCATTTCAGATGTTGATAGTAAGATCCGGTGGATAACCTGTTTTGCGAGATTAGACGTGGGATTTCCAACACGAACACCATCTGTTTATTTGAAGCATTAAAAACTGTAATAATCAACAATTTCAGTTTTCCATTGACAATAATGAAGAATTATGAAGGCGATTCATGTAAGGCACTAGGTAACTTCGCGTTGCTTTTAGAAGAGTATTGTCTGAATAGACAACAGTTACCTTGTGATTCTTCACCGAGCTGCATTTTTCAAGTTGAAAAATCGGGTGCTGAAAGTGATGGATCTATAGATTTGTGAGAATTTGCTGCTGCTTCAACTTCTTTTTGTAATAACAATAACAGTCTATATGAAATTTAACAATTCTGTTTCTTCTTTGATTTTGAGTCACCCTGTAAATGTAGCTCTACTAAACTATCGGACCGCATTCATAGCCTACAAGAGAAAAAAATCTTCTATACTGGAAAGGAGGAAAAAAAGAATGTATCAACCTGATACATCTGCCCCTCTTTATAACCCGTGAAATAGCCCTAGTTCTAATTAAATTTCAGTTCAAGCTTCCAAAATGACTTCCAACAATATTAAAGTAGCCACAAAGATCAGACCAATGATCCACCGCGAAGTAGCCGATGGTCTAGAGCGTCTTTGGAACGTAAGAGTAAACTGCATATGGGAAGCCGATGAAAGTAGTCGCCATGGAGAGGTTTATATATTCGACCATGTATTTAATCAGGAATGTACAAATTCAGATGTATATGGATCTGTAGTAAAACCTTTAGTCGATTCCTTCATGGAAGGTTTCAATGCCACAATATTTGCATATGGCCAAACATCTTCTGGCAAAACACACACCATTTTGGGCAATAAAACAGATCCTGGGCTTTTCCAATTAGTATCCAATCAGTTATTCCAGCATGTGGCAGACCAGGTTGATAAGAGGTACTTGATTAGATGCAGTTATATTGAAATCTACAATGAAAAGATCAATGACCTCCTGGATAAGAGCAATCAGGGTTTAACTATGAGAAGATATCAAAGGAAATGTGCTGCTTGATGCAAGGGAAGCTGTCGTAGACAATGTTGATAAAGTTATGGAGAACATGATGCAGGGCAATAAGATCAGACGAGTTGCAGCTACTCGCATGAATGAGAGGTCATCTCGATCACACACGATTTTCCGGATTATTCTGGAGTCGAAAGATGCCAATCAGAAAGATGGACCTGTACATATAAGCTACCTTAACTTAATGGACTTAGCTGGTTCTGAGAGAGTTTCTCTGACGAAAGCTGCTGGTGAGCGTCTTAAAGAGGGGGCTAACATAAACAAATCTTTGTCAGTATTAGGAAATGTGATAAGGCAACTAAGCGAGGGGAAGGAGTTTATCAGTTATCGCGATTCGAAATTGACTAGACTGCTCTCACAGGCTCTTGGCGGTAATGCCAAATCATTGATTATCGGGAATGTTACTTTAGCTGCAGAGGAGGAGACTAGATCTACACCAGAATTCGCCCAAAGCACTAAAACTGTCAAAAATAAAACGAAAGTAAACATCTTGTCAGCTACAGAAGAGACACTTCAAGGATATCAGAACTTGACTCGCGATCTCGAAACTCGGCTCAAAAAGCAGGCAATTAAGCTAAAAGAGATGGATAAAAGCAAACAAGAGTATCTGCTCGAGATAGAAAGACTAAAAACGGAAGTATCTATTGTCGGGCGCTTTCAAATGGGAGCCTCGGCATCAACACCGAAAAAAACATTAAGACGTCATACTTTTGGACACTATGGCAACGTATCACCTAAAAAAGCATCCCTAGGGTATATGCCATTGAAAAATTATCCACCCAAAGAAGAATCATCCGGACGTGAAATGAGGCCTATTCAAGAAGAGACATATGAGGAGGCACTAGCCGAAGCAGAATCTGTGATAGCTGAAGACGTGCAAGTGTACTTAAAAGACAACGCAAAGAACTGGAAGAATCTTTCAATGAGCTTAGAGAATTCACTAAACTAGATAATCAGCTGGAGATTTTGGACCTGAAGAAACAGCTCACAGAAGCCAATTCTAAAATCGATCGTTACAGTCAGGAACTCCGCCAAGTAACGGATGCGTACAACGAAGAAATAGAAAGAGTTCAAAAAATTCTCAAAAAGCGCAAGAATTTCATCGACTTGCAATACAGACTCGATTTTCTGGAAAAAAATAATAAAAAGACTAAAAACATACGAGTCAGAAATAGAGATGCTGCGTACTCAACTGAAGAACCTAGGAAGATCAGAGAGCCCTAAACCATCTCTTGAAGCTCAAAATATTGAGTCAAAAAAGAAGGTTGCAGACTTAGAAGCTATGCTTGACGCTGAGTACGAAGATATGCAAGATTCTTTAAGTGCTGCTACACAAACTGATGTAACGATGTCACACATTGCTGAACTGCAAGATGAAATTGGCTTCCTAAAAGAACTTGAATCTAAACTGAGAAATGACGTAAAGAGTCTGATGGACGAGAGTAACCAACGTGAGGTCAACCACTCATTTAAAATCTCAGATATACGATGCCATAATGATTCTACTATAAAAGAGCTTCAGGATCAAATGGCTGAACTGGAATGCCAAAACGAAATCTGGATTATGAAAAGTGCCCCTCTTTATAACCCGTGAAATAGCCCTAGTTCTAATTAAATTTCAGTTCAAGCTTCCAAAATGACTTCCGACAATATTAAAGTAGCCACAAAGATCAGACCAATGATCCACCGCGAAGTAGCCGATGGTCTAGAGCGTCTTTGGAACGTAAGAGTAAACTGCATATGGGAAGCCGATGAAAGTAGTCGCCATGGAGAGGTTTATATATTCGACCATGTATTTAAGCAGGAATGTACAAATTCAGATGTATATGGATCTGTAGTAAAACCTTTAGTCGATTCCTTCATGGAAGGTTTCAATGCCACAATATTTGCATATGGCCAAACATCTTCTGGCAAAACACACACCATTTTGGGCAATAAAACAGATCCTGGGCTTTTCCAATTAGTATCCAATCAGTTATTCCAGCATGTGGCAGACCAGGTTGATAAGAGGTACTTGATTAGATGCAGTTATATTGAAATCTACAATGAAAAGATCAATGACCTCCTGGATAAGAGCAATCAGGGTTTAACTATAAGAGAAGATATCAAAGGAAATGTGCTGCTTGATTGCAAGGGAAGCTGTCGTAGACAATGTTGATAAAGTTATGGAGAACATGATGCAGGGCAATAAGATCAGACGAGTTGCAGCTACTCGCATGAATGAGAGGTCATCTCGATCACACACGATTTTCCGGATTATTCTGGAGTCGAAAGATGCCAATCAGAAAGATGGACCTGTACATATAAGCTACCTTAACTTAATGGACTTAGCTGGTTCTGAGAGAGTTTCTCTGACGAAAGCTGCTGGTGAGCGTCTTAAAGAGGGGGGCTAACATAAACAAATCTTTGTCAGTATTAGGAAATGTGATAAGGCAACTAAGCGAGGGGAAGGAGTTTATCAGTTATCGCGATTCGAAATTGACTAGACTGCTCTCACAGGCTCTTGGCGGTAATGCCAAATCATTGATTATCGGGAATGTTACTTTAGCTGCAGAGGAGGAGACTAGATCTACACCAGAATTCGCCCAAAGCACTAAAACTGTCAAAAATAAAACGAAAGTAAACATCTTGTCAGCTACAGAAGAGACACTTCAAGGATATCAGAACTTGACTCGCGATCTCGAAACTCGGCTCAAAAGCAGGCAATTAAGCTAAAAGAGATGGATAAAAGCAAACAAGAGTATCTGCTCGAGATAGAGAGACTAAAAACGGAAGTATCTATTGTCGGGCGCTTTCAAATGGAGCCTCGGCATCAACACCCCGAAAAAAACTTAGACGTCATACTTTGGACACTATGGGCAACGTATCACCTAAAAAAGCATCCCTAGGGTATATGCCATTGAAAAATTATCCACCCAAAGAAGAATCATCCGGACGTGAAATGAGGCCTATGCAAGAAGAGAACATATGAGGAGGCACTAGCCGAAGCAGAATCTGTGATAGCTGAAGACGTGCAAGTGTACTTAAAAGACAACGCAAAGAACTGGAAGAATCTTTCAATGAGCTTAGAGAATTCACTAAACTAGATAATCAGCTGGAGATTTTGGACCTGAAGAAACAGCTCACAGAAGCCAATTCTAAAATCGATCGTTACAGTCAGGAACTCCGCCAAGTAACGGATGCGTACAACGAAGAAATAGAAAGAGTTCAAAAAAATTCTCAAAAGCGCAAGAATTTCATCGACTTGCAATACAGACTCGATTTTCTGGAAAAAAATTATAAAAGACTAAAAACATACGAGTCAGAAATAGAGATGCTGCGTACTCAACTGAAGAACCTAGGAAGATCAGAGAGCCCTAAACCATCTCTTGAAGCTCAAAATATTGAGTCAAAAAAGAAGGTTGCAGACTTAGAAGCTATGCTTGACGCTGAGTACGAAGATATGCAAGATTCTTTAAGTGCTGCTACACAAACTGATGTAACGATGTCACACATTGCTGAACTGCAAGATGAAATTGGCTTCCTAAAAGAACTTGAATCTAAACTGAGAAATGACGTAAAGAGTCTGATGGACGAGAGTAACCAACGTGAGGTCAACCACTCATTTAAAATCTCAGATATACGATGCCATAATGATTCTACTATAAAAGAGCTTCAGGATCAAATGGCTGAACTGGAATGCCAAAACGAAATCTGGATTATGAAAAAGGACGACGAAATCAGAAAATTGCAACAACTAATTACAAACCCGAAGCAGGCTGGCACTTAACCAGAACCACCTGTGCAGGAAGACGTTGCATTTTATAGGGAGCAAGTTGAGTTCTCCCAGAACATGTACAAAAATGAGATAATAGGTGGAGAGTTACGTATAAACCATAGAGAAAATCTTCAGGCAGTTAAACTAGAAATATGTCTACCCTTGTTTAGTGTTTACGATTATTGCAGGGTTTGGACAAAGTTTAGGGCTGATCCCAGTGCTCACAGTGTACAATTTTCAGCTAATAAATCTTGAATTCTGAGGTAACAAAATCAACTAGAACTCTGAAAAAGTGATTTATCAGAAATCATGCCCTTACTTCCATGATAAGAGGGATTCGTAAAAATTATAAGCAGGTTGTGGCTTATTATCTAGTAAAAGATACAAGAATCCCAGATCTGAAAACGATTATTGTTCATGTGATCACAAACTAGCAGCGACTTGGTTTGTGCGTTGTTGGCACTATTTCTAATCAGGGCGCAACGATCAAAAACGCACTTGAGACGATTTGCTCGGAGAATACTCACGGATCAAGTCCATTCCATTTTATAGTCAATGCTCAGAGTATTTCTACAATTTGTGATGAACCACATTTATTCAAAAATGGATGAAATGCTCTTATTGACATTAATATGAAAGTGAAGAAGCTGCACAGATTGAACATGTCTAGAATCATTAATGTTG